TGTCGCCGAGAATCAAATAGATTGCACGACATTTGAAAAATGGCAAAAAGGAGGGAAAATTCAAAAGGTGGGGTTGAGTTGGGTAGTTAGCGCCCGAGAGGATCGAAGTCTCGATAGCGATAAGTGGTAGAGTAGCGGCGTATCAAGCCTAAGTTCGTGGGTTCGATTCCCGCTCGTGACACTGACTTTTTTATCTCAACTTAAAACCTTAATTAATTGAGTAATTTATTAGTGTGATGGAAAAGGTTGTTTAGCCACGCCTTGAGGAATATCGCGTACTCTCAGGTGCGTGTGTGATGTCTGGAGAGGAAAAAAGTTTATTAAGGAAAAAGGAGTGCTTTCAACACCGACCCGAGGAATATCGAGTATTTTGGGGGAGTTAATGTGACCAGACTTCTATGTTTCTATAGATTGTTGTGTTTCTGTTAATTTATTGTAATGAATTTAATTTATTAGCGTGAAAGGAAGGGGTTGTTTATCGTGTGGTTTCACCACCGACCCGAGAAATATCGAGCACTCTAGGGAGTGAATGTGACCAAACTTCTGTGTTTGTAGCGCGTGTTGTGTTTATTTTAATTAGAATGAATGTAATTTATTAGATTCAGTATTTTTCGTGGTCCGCTTGACCAATTAAATCATTAAAGCAATAGATTTTAATGTAATTTAGTTAAATGTTATGTTATTTGTTTATTTAGTTTTTAATTGTTAATTAGTTTCTACTTATTAACGTTATTTATTAATATTTAACAGTTTCAGTTCGGACGTCGGACTGGAGGGGAACGAGGAGCGGACCTGGTCGCGAAAGCGGGTACTCTCGTTCCTCACAGTGATGATGTTGAGACCACCCAGATTCGGCCTGACGACGTTAAGAGAATAGTGAAAAATATGATGTTAGACAAGTGGAAGCGTCGTTGGGCCGACTCGACTGACGCGTTGGTGTCCGTTAAGCCGACGGTCGACCGGTGGAGCCCGGAGGGGATATCTCGAAGGGAAAGCGTTGTCCTGACCCGCCTGCGGATAGGCCACACACGTGCGACTCATGGTTGGCGAGAGTCGACCTAGGTGCCCAGCATGTCAAGTAGACAGACTCACAGTGTCGCATGTGTTGGAGGGGTGTCGCAGCTTGGCCCTGTATAGGGTCCGAAATGGAATACCGCCGGGTTATAGAACAATGCTCGAGCATGGCAGCGAATTCAAGGACAAACTTTTTAGGTTTCTAACAGATATTGGGGGGGGGGACCGCGGTAGCCGAGTGGTTAGCATGTGAGACTCTCACGCCGCGGTCGTGGGTTCGATTCCCACCGTCGCCTCTGGCCCTTTTTTCCCGATAACCCCCAATTTGAACACACAAGAATTCGTACTATGGCTAATATGCAAGATCATAAGGCCAAATAAAAAAAAAAAAATTGGGATTATGGGTTGTATATAGAGGGGTATTTATTTTATAGGTTTAAGTTTAGCTTTAGTTTCTGGTAGAATAGAAGTATGTTGGACGGCGGTGCAGCATATTATTTCAAGGCTCCACCGCTGCTCCGGTAAATCGGGGCGGAATATCGAGTACCCCCCTCCGACCCGGATTTCAGACGGAGGATATGCATGTGTGATTGGGTTTGTATATAGTAGTATGTATGTTTTTATTGTATGAGTGAGTGTGAGAATGACTAGTTTTAGGGAACGTAAGGGCGCCGAAATGACCAAAGAAGTCGATGGCGCCCGACCAGAGCTCAACCTCGGAGTCGCTTATGCACCAATGATCTATCAGGGAGAGGCCAGAGGCCTCCTAGGAGGTCTCGCAATTCAGTTTTACAGTTTCAGTAATTGTCTTTTCGCCATAATATGAATCTGATATCCCAATATATATATATACATTTTAAATATTTTATATTTATGGTTATTGTATTACATGTGATATTTTGTATGAAGCATGTAGAATAAATAATAAATATAATAATAATTTAAAAAAAAGAAAATCCTATAAATTCACTCAGACATTTACGTAATCTTGTATTAGTAAATTTCAAAATGGACTTACTCCGCTCGGATATCAGATTTACAGATGTCCGGTTTTTTGAGGTCATAGGGTCTTCGGGACGCGGTCTGAACCGGTGTTACGAAACTGTCCATTTAAGAGTTTGTAGCTTATTGAGAAAATAAAACCCTGGAACACTTTCTAATTTTAGTTTATAAACGTAAAGCTATTATAAAAATCTCAATAAAATTTAATTTCTATACTTCGAAGTTTTTAATTCTCGTTAAAAATATTAAAAGGAGGTTGAGAGAAAACGTCAACACCGATCAAATAGGTTCATGACAATATTTTGTAAACATATAGACGTTTTATTATTTTTAAGATTATTTTTACGTGCTATGAAGGAATGCTGCCTTGGATTTAATTCATTCAACTTCTTCCTTAAACTCCACGACAACCTGGTTTAAATGCGCAACGGCCCTGTTAAAACCGGTTGCAACCAGAAATAATAAAACAGGGTTAAAAATAAATCGGATCAAATTGATTAGTTCAGTTTTTACTTGAACGGTATCGACCACGAAAAAAAGTATCCTTTTTAAAGAACTTGCTAAAAATTACATGCTATTCTATTAATGAATATTTTAATAAAAGCATGTATTACTCTTAGACATTTTCTGTAATCGACTGTCTGCATGTTGCATGCCTAGCAAAAAGGTAGTTTTCGCTTCAAATGATTCATAAGTTTCCGTTATGAAAACTGGCATGTTGAACGGTTGTTCATAGCGTATAGCATAAGGGTTAAAATAACTTTAAAAAATTGTCACATGCGGGCATCGAGATTTCCTACTTGATTGGAAAGTAGCTAACTACAAAATGTGTCAATTTATTGTCCCAGTAATGATTCATTTTTCTGTTGTTATATATAACGAGGAAAGTTTAGGGGCGTATAAATAGCTGAGGTCATCGGAAGCCCTCTGCGTGTTTGTATTTCTTTTTCTGGTCTTTTACGTGTATTTTTGGATCAGCAGCCATCTGAGCGTCTCTGTTACCAACACTCTGCTTTTTAATGAAAACTAAGTCGATATCCCAAAATGCTACCCTCTAGTTTGTACCTCAAGTTGTCAACAGAATAGACACAAAATATTGCATTTACAATGTATTATTGTATATGTATATACACAACACCACCATATACAAATATAGAAAACTGGTCACATCCACTCCCCTAGAGTGCTCGATAATTCTCGGGTCGGTGTGGAAACCACAGGATAAAAAACCCCTTCCTTTCACGCTAATAAATTCCATTCATTACAATAAATTAACAGAAACACAACAATCGATAGAAACATAGAAGTTTGGTCACATTCACTCCCCCAAACTACTCGATATTCCTCGAGTCAGTGTTGAAACCACTCCTTTTCCCTAATAACCTTTTTTTATTCTCCAAGCGTCACACACGCACCTGAGAGTACGCGATATTCCTCAAGGCGTGGCTAAACAACCTTTTCCATCACACTAATAAATTACTCAAATTAAGGTTTTAAGTTGAGATAAAAAAGTCAGTGTCACGATCGGGATCGAACCCACGACCTTCGGCTAGATACGCCGCTGCTCTACCACTTGAGCTATCGTGACTTCGATCCTCTCGGGCACTAATTTCCCATCTCAACCCCACCTTTTGATTTTTCCCTCCTTTTTGCCATTTTTCATCCCGCTCGTGACATGTACTTTTTTATCTCAACTAAAAACCTTAATTAATTGAAAAATATTAATTGGTCAAGTGGACCACGAAAAGTATTGAGTTTTGTTAGAGGTTGAAAATGTTTTGTAATCAAATTTATTTATGTAAGTTGACTTCTGTTAATTGATTGGTGTGATGTATGCCTAATTGTTATTTGTTGTAATTCTAGGTCGTACCTGAAGAAGGTCGAAAGCTTGGTGAGAAGTTACAATTCTCACTCCTTTGTCATCCACAACAGATTGGTCATATGTGGAATGTTTTGACAACTGGCCATATTAGCTTTGGTTCGAATCATGTAAAACACCAAAAGCATGTAAGACCTACCACATTTTCTTCTATTGGTTGTTTGATGTACCGTGCACAGTGGTACCACTTAGAGGACCTGGCGGTTCCTGAACCGAGAACCCAACCAGAACGGTCAACCCCCAGCACTATGTGGACCCATATTACTCTTAGCAATATCTCATCTTGCCCTTTTTTACTTCATGTTTTATTCGTTTAAAAAATTTCCCACAACCTTATATTGATTGGCATTTCAATAAAAGAGAAAAGTGTCTGCCAAATTCCTTAAATCCTTATCTCTTTGCTCCATACCTCCATATACCAAATCATTATTATGGGTTCGAGATGCTGTGAGAGACGTGTCCTGATTCTGGGTTGGATTTTAGCAAAAAGTTGACAAATAGCATGACGTATAATTGTTCACGCTTTTATAAACAGCTGGACTTGATGAAACGGCCTTCAGACGTTTAGTTGGATCGATTGACAAAATTCCTTTAGTTGAATTTCAATAACTTGTTTGGCACTATTGGTTCTCTATGCGTTTGAAATACCAGGAAACGAAAGTCCTTAAATAGGTCGCTTCTTTTGCTAGATTATCTACTTTCTAATTATATCTAATACATGGGCTCTAATCCAAGCAAATTTAATGACTTTCACCAAAATTTCACACAAAACCAATATGACACCACAAGCACCACACTTTATGCCTTGAACATGACCGAAATAAAGGTCCAAACTTCGGGAAAAAAAATGAAAAAGGTGTTTTTCTAAACTACGAAGCCTACAAATTATTTAATGATTTTATTCTGTAATCCGATACCTGAAAGTTGTTTTTCATTGTATTTGTTTTTCATTTGTTTGTTATTCATGTAATTATTAGTAAATGATTTCAGCTTATTGATAGACAGAGAATAACATTTTGCGAGATATTTGAAATTTTTTCAGACCCACGGAAAATTTCTCTTGATTTGAATTTTCCAAAGGAATAATTAAAAACAGTTCATTTACCTTTGTCGTGCACTACCATGTGCGTACAGTGGCATGGGTCGATCGATGGGTGCAGAACAGACTCTACATGGCAGAGTAGAGCCGCGGTCGGTTCATCTCCTTCACAAACCGCGTCTGACCCTAGAAAAATACAAAAAAAATCAAATTAGTACACACAAAAAATTACAGTATAGGTAATTATGTATATTTTCCCAAAAAAAGTCATAGTTAACACAAAGAACCAATTATCTATTGTACTAAATAAATATCCTAGGTTATATTACCATATGACATGAAAAAATCATGACAAATAAAGAAAATTTATTTTTACAACCGTCCAAGTGGTTAAAAAGCCATGAGTTTTATATATCTTTTGTTTATAATAAACAGTGATAAACATGTTGCAAGGCTGGATCAACAAATTCTTTTACGTGACGATTTTCCCGTGATCTCATTTTCAGGAGAGTGCGCATGAGTTGGGCTAGGTTAGGTTAGGATATTAGCTAGCGTTGGGGACGGATTAGAGTTAATCTTAACATTATGGTTAGATTCACTAGTTTTCGTGGTCCGCTTGACCAATTAATATATTTCGATTAATTAAAGTTTTAATTTGAGATAAAAAAAAAGTCAGTGTCACGAGCGGGATTCGAACCAACATCCCATCTCAACCCTAACTTTCTTAATTTTCCCTCCTTTTTTCCATTTTCCAAATGTCGTGTAATCTATTTGATTCTCGGCGGCAAATTATGGTTAGATAACGTTAGGTTGAGTTAGGGCTATGGTTATGGTTACGCAGGGTAGGTTATGGTAGGGTTACGGAGAGTTAGGGTTAGAATTTAAGAATGGAAGTGGATGGCTGTTTTAAACTTGTAGCTTCATATAATTGTCCTCCCTTTAAGAAAATTCACAACTGTCTAAAAGGCAAAAGGCATCTAACAACACGAAAAAGCTGACCTTGTGAAATGACCGAGCTACATGTCTTTGCATTTACCCGTGTCTCTTACCCTCTTTCTTTTTTTTTCTCTCTCTCTCTTTCTCTTTCTCTCTATCTATCTATCTGTCTGTCTATATATCTATCTATATATCTCTCTATCTATCTATCTATTTATTTCCCTCTTTCTTTCTCTCTCAATCCCCATCTGTCTCTCTCTCTCTCTCTCTCTCTCTCTCTCTCTTTCTCTCTCTCTCTCTCTATCTATCTATCTATCTATCTCTATCTATCTATTTATCTATATGTCTATCTATCTATCTACCTATCTATCTATCTATCTATCTATTTATCTATATGTCTATCTATCTACCTACCTACCTATCTATCTATCTATCTATTTATCTATATGTCTATCTATCTACAATATCTACCTATCTATCTATCTATCTATTTATCTATATGTCTATCTATCTATCTATCTATCTATTTATCTATATGTCTATCTTTCTACCGACCTATCTATCTATCTATCTATTTATCTATATGCCTATCTATCTATCTATCTATTTATCTAGATGTCTATCTTTGTATTTATCTACCTATCTATCTATCTATTTATCTATATGTCTATCTACCTTTTTATCTATCTCTATCTATCTATCTATCTATCTATCTATTTCCCTCTCTCTCTCTCTCTCTCTCTCTCTCTCTATCTATCTCTCTCTCTCTCTCTCTCTATCTATCTATCTATCTCTCTATCTCTATCTATCTATGTATTCATCTCTCTCTCCCTCTCTGTCTCTATCTATCTACCTATCTATCTATTTATCTATCTGCCTATCTATCTATCTATATCTATTTTCCTATCCATCTATTCATCTATTTCCCTCTTTCTTTCTATCCAATCTCCATCTGTCTTTTTCTCTCTAGTTCTCTGTACATCTTTTTCTCTCAATCTGCCCCTATATTTCTTTCTCAACCTCGTTCTATCTTCCTGGTTCATCACCTCAATTTTAGGAGAAATTTCACGTTTTAATGATTCTGGATTCCATTTTTTTTAAAGAAAAAAAAAGGAGATTTAAATTAATACCTGTCATACAGAAAGTAACGTCCAACTATCTCCCCGTTGAGTATCGCCTTTAAGGGGTCAAACTACATATTTTTCATTTTTTTCTAAAAATTCAAGGTTGGGCCTGAATTAGAATGTAGAACCGCTAGCGTTGTAGGATATTCGAATTTTCCTTGATACCATGAAATTGTTTATCTACTATCTTATGTGTACCTTTCGAAGGTCGTGTAGGCTGTTTGAATTTCCTGTTCTTTAAAAATATTTTGTAGTGTTATACTTCTAATAAAATTATTTAGGCAGTGCTTAATAAAAGATTTTTTAAGGTTGTCGATGATCGTTGACAGGCAGGACCGGTCGTATCCAACTGTTCGTGGCGTAAATCCCGTTGGCTGATAGCGGCAGCCTTGCACTTCCTCAGGTTTCAATCCCCGACCTTACTTCACCCCACTTTCAAGTCCGAGAACTAAGTCAAGGAACAGCCACGCCCGACGAACACGACTTGATGCACCTTCGACTTTTCCACACGGAAGCCGGTTACTATCGAGTGAATAACGATTGTTTAAAATAAATAATACGTTTCAGATAGATTAATATTCTTATCGTATATGTATTTGTATGATTCAAACAATGTTTATAAATCCAAGGCTCTGAAGATGATCTCAATAAAGATCGAAACGTTGGCATTATAAAGAAAATATTTTTCTAAACATACATAACACCAGACCGCATTTCACGATCTCTAAATAATCCTAAATAATATGGTTCATTAGAATTTTTGATGAGCAGGATAAACATATAGAAACAAACGATTGAAACACAAGCAAACAAAATTAATACAGGTCTAATACACATTGATAAAAGTATCAAAAGCTACTCCATATATATTATTTAAAAAAACAAAACAAGTGCCTTCGTGATCTATCTCAAAGTCCAACCGGCAGTTTAAAACCCATGATTAAAGGTTCAAAATACGAAAGAGGAAAGAAAGGAGCATTTCTACGCATGAACGCTTTCCTTATTGCTCTTCAGTTCTTTAATTTAACTTGCATAATGAAATTAAAACAATTCCTACAAGCTTATGAAACAAACCGGAGTCCGACAAGCGTATTAAACATTTTTACGCTTATTTAAATATCTAAAAATTATAGTTTTTAACGGACAAGATACAATCAACGAGAGTCAGTTGATCTTGAACTAACCAAAACTAAATCTATGATTTTTATTTAAAAAAACCTATAATAGAGGTAACCCCCCAAGGTTGTACTTGTACTAACGCTGTTAAACTTTGATATTTAAAAACAAATTTATTGAATCACAAACAATAAAAGTGGGAGAAAAAAATGGGAAACCGAAAAGTTTGTGACGTGTATTTGAAGATCGTGGATTCGAATCCTACCTGTGACACAAATTTTCTTTTCGAAAAACCGTACGTAAATAATTTGAACTTATAATGTCAACAATAAACTCACAAACTTTGCAAATTTCAGAATACGTTAGTATGCGGATTTACCAGAAAACATTCTCAAAAAAAGTGGTTAACCAGTGTTAATTCCTTAAAATTATATTAATAATATCATATCGTAAGTTATATTATCTTTCATTATTTTTGTATCAATAAAAAGTTTTTTACAAAAATTATTCAACTCGCACTTTTGTACGCGTATGTATGTATATATTTCCATATTTAAGTTTATAATATTTTTAATTAAGAATTTTACTGAATATAATTCAACTAAGTATGCACAAGATACTCTTATTTTACATACTTAATGTTTATGTAATGTTATTTTAATATTAATTATATAATATTTTAAAAGATTAATTATACTTTTATATAAGGTCTTGGTCGAGACGAAAAAGTCAATGTCATGAGCGGGATTCGAACCCACGACCTTCAGCTCAATATGCCACTGTTCTAACCACTTGAGCTATTGTGACTTCGATCCACTTGGACACAAACTCATCACAACCTTTTCGAATTGTCCCTCTTTTTGCCATTTTTCAAGCCGAAGGTCGTGGGTTCGAATCCCGCTCGTGACGGTGGCATTTTCATTTCAAGACCTTACATAAAAAGAATAATTAATTGAAATTAGTAATTTGGTCAATTAGACCACTAAACATAAATGGATAATTATTTGAAAATATGTTACATTAATGTACAATGACATTTAATAATTTCAATAACAATGATAAATATGATATTTTTTAGATATATTTATACGAAACATATATATACGAAAAAAAGTAATTTTTTCCTTTGTTGTTAGTTTTGCTTTTATATTGTTATATTTTATATATTGCATATTTCTACATGTAATCATTTTTGTAAATTGGATTAATTCCATAAAATATATTATTATTATTATTTTTATTATAAAATGGACAACCCAAAGATGTCATTGAAGTGGAAACAACATCGGGAAAGAAGGGTAAAATAGATGGACAAAGCATGATAAAATTCAATTTTATCCAAACATTTCTTTCTATTTGGATATTTGAACTGTGCCCCCCAATATTTGGAAATCATGACAAATCAGAACTCATTGTGATATTAAAGGCTGGAAAAACCGCCAAACGGGGTCAAATCATACAGATTGTACAGAAAAGATCCTGTTAAAGTGTAAAACACAAAAAGAAGAAAAATAACGAATGAAAAAAAAAACACTCGAAGAAAACTTATCTGTTCATGGTTTTTTTGTCAAGATATGACATGAAGGACTTACCCTTAAAATAAAAGGGATGCTACTAAAATGATTAAAACCTCCTGCTAAGGGACAGATTACCATTACTTTCCTTTTTAAAAAGATAGTTCCTACTCACAGTAAGATGTTTTGTAACAATCCGGATTTCGAGCTTTTTAGCTCATCATCAGGTTGAAGGACTTCTACAACCACGTCTCTCGACAAGAATTGCCAAAGTGACCAAGACCTTCCAATTAGCAGCTGATTTTTTTAATGGCGCTCAATTTGAACGTGCGAAACACGGAAATTATAACACAAATAAATTCCGCGTTTCGCCCGTTCAAATTGAGCGCCATTAAAAAAATCAGCTGCTAATTGGAACGTCGCGTTGGCGTAGGTATCAGCGGGTTCACTTTGGCAATTCATGTCGAGAGACGTGGTTCTAGAAGTCCTTCAACCTGATGATGAGCTAAAAAGCTCGAAATCCGGATTGTTGCAAAACAACTTACTGTGAGTAGGAACTATCTTTTTAAAAAGGATTGAACGCCACACTCACTCCATCATTTATCATTTCTACCATTACTTTTGTACTTCGGGAGGTGTTGTCTAAAAAGAATTCTTTATCATCTGAAAACACATACACATGTGTGTAGATTTAGATGTCCATTTTCATTGAAATTTCATCGAATACCGGTCTCCCAAAATTTTCAGGTGGATCAAGATTCCATTTTGTGTTGTTTGTTAGCCTAAAAACGTGAAGTTATATAAAAGTGGCAAACATTTTTATACTCAATTTAACATATTGATAAGAGAAAACATCACTCGATGTCCCCATCCGGTTTTCCTTATCTTTAACGTTTTACCGTCAATTTCGCACGGTCCATTGTCCAGAAAACCAGATTATGGAATCAGAAGGTTGGGCAACAAGGACGAAACTTTTTTTTAAAATCGAGTCGTACACGTTGACGAAGATGACTCTAGATGGCCCGGACGATTAACATCCCAAAGGGTGCCTATCACGATCTACGAGTATTTCGACGTCTCGTTCAATAACCCGCGACTTGATCGATGATCCTCCTTTTGACGGCTGTATTAACGGCGGAGGCGTCGAGACAAACCGTGACGACAAGGCGTTACCGGTTGAAGGACGTTCGAAAGAATTCTTCAAGAATGGAAGGCGTGACTTGTGACGACTAGGTGTAGCGGTCAATTCAAAAATAAACTTTTACCTTAGCCTAATTCGACAAAAATTCTAAAAATCTCTTTGTGCCTGTTTTGAAACAGTAGTTATAAAATTATGACATATTGCAACCAATAATAACTTTACCACCGGTAATAACTGTGACAATGCTTTTACAGAAAATTCAATTTAAAAAAATTAAAAGGAAGAATGTCTACCGCCTAAGACTGCTCAAAGATAAAAATAGTTTTTTGTTATCACATTTTACTCTGTGTAAATCCTGTAGAAAGCTATGTAGTCACTAGCTTAGAAAATGTCCCAAATTTACTTGTTTTTTCTATCGAGCGATTTTGGTTCGAAATGGGTCAAAGGGCATTTTCAAAATCAAAATGTTGTCAAAACGCAGTATACAATAAGAACGGATATTTAGACCATACAAAGAGCCATAATTACCTGTTGCGGCGACCAAGAATAGAAAGGCCACCCAGGCTAGCGTCATCTGGAACAAAAAATAAGGGAAAGTTAAATACATTTACTTAATAAGTAATTACATCAATAAAAAAAAAACTTTGTTTTGTTTATTATATAACAAAAAATATACACTTAGTCAATCAAAGATTCTAATAATCTGTAATAAAACGGCATTAGAGAAAACAATAAAAATAGATTTAATTTTAAAAAATCAATTAATTAAGGTTTTAGTTGAGATAAAAAAATTGGTGTCATAAGCGGGATTCGAACCCAAGACCTTCGGCTAAATACGCCGGTGCTCTACCACTTGAGCTATCCTGACTTCGATCCACAACTAAAACGTTAATTAATTGAAAAGATTTTGAAAATGAAAAAAGAAAAAAAATGAAGTATACTTCAGTAAAGCTCTCCGTGGCCATTTCATTTGTCGCCGAGGATCAAATAGATTATACGACATTTGAAAAATGGCAAAAAGGAGGTAAAACTCAAAAGGTGGGGTTGAGATGGGAAGTTAGTGTCCGAGTGGATCGAGGTCACGATAGCTCAAGTGGTAGATCAGCGGCGTATCTCGCCGAAGGTCGTGGGTTCGAATCCCGCTTGTGACACTGACTTTTTTATCTAAACTAAAACCTTAATTAATTGAAAAGATCTTATTTTGTCAAGCGAACCACGAAACCTAAAAAAATGTAATAAAAATGTGTAAATTTCATTATTTGTCATAAGGGAGATAACTAATTTAATAAAACTTGTCTTATGAAAAGTATAAGTTCAAGTAAAAAAGGACTAGCGGTAAAGTAAGAAAATAAAAAATATTTTTCGAAATTATATAAATATATTATCTATAGCTGTTTGCCTGTAAAAGAAAAGAAAATCAGGGTCAACACGAAAATCACAGGTCATGATCTACGATTGATCAACAAACAAATATAAGAATTTTTGAGAGACTTTTTATACGAAGTGGACAAAGTTAAAAATAAAATATTGAAGGAAAAACTTTGATAACCTGTTAATTGATAACCTGTTCACACTCAGAAATCTGCTTGCTAAGTGTAATTGAATAAAAATAAAATTGAAAAAAGAGGAATTTGGAATAAATGTCTTATATTGCATCTATTTTTCTGTGCTTTTCTCTATTAAATTTTTTGAGTGATATATTTGAAATAATTGTATGTCATTGATGTTCAAGATGTTCTTGTTTATACATTGGTCTATTGGCACTATGTATCAAAAAATACAACTAAATCGATTTTTTTTCAAAAGGAAATTTCCCAACTAAAAATGGTCAATTGCGTCAAATCATGTTGGATATATAAAAATTGTATCACTCCTTCCACAACCGGCACGAATGTTGATTCAGAAGCGCAGTTTTTCTTTTACCAGATGGTCCGAATAACCGCAAAGTTCAAAAGTTCAAAATCGCACGTTTTATTGATTTTAATTTGGGTCAGATTCCCATTTTGGCCGCACCTTTGGTGCTTTCTTCGGCGGCGATGTCGGTCAGGGTCGCCACCGACAAAAATTATACTTGAACTTTGAAGACAATTCGCAGGCTATGAACGCGCGCTTATGGATTTCCATTATACTGTAATGTCGGTCCACTAAAAAGAAGTAATATTTTTTTAATTACAATATTATGACACTTAGGATGCTAAAAAGCGTTATTCTTCTTATATTCTCGGTCGAAACGTGACCTCCGGGTTGATTTATTTTGCATCGTGCACGAAATTCGACGCGTTCACTTTCAATCGCTCATAATCCTTTTGAATGGACTAATTCCGTTCAAAATTTTTCAAAAATTACATTCCTCCTATATTACAATTTTCAACCAAATATGTAAATGCAAGGAGAAAAACAAACAAAGTTGTATTTAATTGAAAAAAAAAAATTACTTCACAAAAAGTATTCAAAAAGTAAATGATCTATATAAAGTATCGTTTTTTTATCCCTACAAAACTTATTAAAGGCACTTGCAGCATATAGTACAATATTTATGAAAGGTATTGCTCGAGGTAAAAAAGTCAGTGTTACGAGCGGGATTCGAACCCACGACTTTCGGCTCAACGCGCCGCTGTTCCACCACTTGAGCTACCGTGACTTCGATCCGCTCGGACACTAACTTCCCATCTCAACCTCACCTCTCGAATTTTCCCTCCTTTTTTATCCTCTCCCTATTTTTTTATCTCGACCCATACCTTTCATAAATATTAATTAATTGGTCAATCGGACCACGAACTGTAATGGATAGTACAATATATTCGCCGACTTGGGACCTACCACAAAAATAAAGGGAATAAAGTGACAAAAGTATTCATTATGTGTATTAAAACATAATAAAAAATACATAGATACAGATTATACATTCATTTAGCTCAATTCTCTACTCATTTGTACATACATACACATGATATATATAGTCAAGTAGCAACTTTATCAAAGCATATGCTTTGCTTTTATATGCTATATGCTTTGATAAAGTTGCTACTTGACCATTAACTTGCGAATAATGCAATAATTTTTAATTTCTCCAGACAAAAGGGCATCAAACGAGCCGACGTGCTCTTCATCTTAACTAAGTCTAACACTTTCTTTTTAATAGCAGCCTCCAGAAGGTCTTACGCAAAACACTCGGAATAAAAATTATGCAACTCCTCCGAAGTAAGGAGGTGCTTGCAAGTCCGAAAGGCGAATCTTTCTGCCCCTGGGGGAGCGACCAAAATAAAAGTTCAGCGAGAAACCCCGACCCATGAACGATTTCGAAAATTCGCAAAACAAAGACAAATTGCAAATTGAATCTATAAAAGATTAACTTCCGGTTCCTAAAATGGTAGAGCAGCGGCGTATCCAGCCGAAGATCGTGGGTTCGAATCCCGCTCGTGCCATTGACTTTTTTATCTCAACTAAAAACCTTAATTAATTGTAATATATTAATTGGTCAAGCGGACCACGGAATTAGTGAATTTAATAATAATAATAATACCAGCAGATCATACAAATGAAGGTGTTCGTTCTAGGGTTTTTCCTGCAGGTATAGTAATGATATAGTAGTAATGAAATTAATTGCTCCTAAATTTGATCTTATTCCTGCTAAATGCAATCTGAAGATGGCAAAGTCAACAGAATCAAGATGTAAGTTAACGGTATATTTCAGGGTTATAATAGTACACTTTGGCCGCAAGTGTCGATGTGGCGTAACTTTGCCCGCAATGACTGCAACCCTTTGTTTACATTAGGTCATTGTCTGAAGTTGAGAAAGTTCCACTTGTTTCTTTTAATTACCTTGCGAAGTGAACGTTATTACTTGTTTAATTAGACCGGTTTTGTTTTTTTGCAAAATGTTTTCTAGCCCGTCTCCTGCAACATTAATCAAAAATACTGTTATGATTATATAATTTAAAGAAATGAAGACGAAAAGAGTTGAAAAAGTTTGTAGTGTGAAGTCTAAATTTCCCTTTGCGATATGGGTTTTTCTCATTATAATAAATTTCGAACAGTGGAATTTCTGCTAATTAGAAGTTTCTATTCGTTCCTGAATTTACCGAGTCACGATTGTTCAGGACTTCAGTTGCCAGTTAAGATATTCAATTAGAAAGCTAAGATTTTTGGCATTTTTGCGTTTTTTGTTAGAATGTGTATCACAAGATTTACGTAGAAAATTTGCCAATTAAAAATAAAAATTTTTTGTTGTCTAAGAGTTCGTTTATTTGTTTCATGTTCATTAATTTTTACTTCCATTTTTCATTAAATGCAGTTTTTAGGTTTCTTTATAATCATAAAATTTAACAGATTTAATTCTCATTATGATTTCAAAAAATTTATTACTTTAAAAATTTTAAATTTATAATTTGAACTTTCTTTGTGGTATATTTGGCAACATATGACAATTATGGTACTCTTTAATTTCTATTTTATCTTTATTTGAATTTATTGCATTTTATTTTATTTTTGTTTTCTCTCTTCATTATTTTGTTTTTTCTTTCGTTTATTTGGTCATATATACCTTCTCAGTCCTTTTGATTTAATTTTTCGCAATTTTGTTCACTGACATAACTCCTGCCATCTGTTACAAGCACTGCTTTTAGATGACAGGCGAAAATGTGCAGATTGGTTAAATGATTTACTTTTACTTATGGTTTTATTATTTTATCCTTAAATTTTTTTCTCTATTTACGTTTTTTCTTACTGTTGTACTGTACTTTTCGCAAAGAAATTTATTATTATTATGTTGGTGTGGTATTGTATGTATGAAAGTTCTTCCTCATTAGGGATTTAGGTTTATCATGTCTGTAGGTCACCTATGCTATACGCCTTTCAAATTTGGCAAGATCTACGACTAAATACTAAAAGGGGTTTTGTTTATTTGGCACTTTTACCGTTTATTTGCCTATAAAAAAATTCCACTTGAGATGCATACGTGCATTGACTCGTCAGTACTTAGCAAGCTGCGTTTAAGCACCAGTAAACTAGACAGTTTGTGTAGGAATTTTAAAAATTTGATAGGTAAATCTGGGTTATTTTATGTTTTCTGAAGCTTTTTATAAAATTCGCTATAAGGCTGACCTCCAAACATGCTAATACGAGATCTGGTTAAACATCTTAGATACCCAGTTTTTTCATCATTTATGCCATGGGATTTTAATAAAATGCTCGATACCCATTTTGATTTATAAGATTTACAAAAGTTATTCAATGAAATTATTCCAAGTAATTGGTTTTATTAAACTATCAACAAATAAGTGTCACCTCTATTATTTTTATTAGAGCATTCAAGTAGGAATATTTGCCAGTATGGCAAGTGAACGCTCTGGACAAAATATGGTCTTGGAGAAGAAAGCAAATTCAGTTGTTACTGCCAAGTTTTCGACCAATTTTAAGGTCATCAGGGCAGAACATCAATATTTCAATCTGTAGACGTATTTAAGATTTTTTTGTCCTGATGATGACCTTAAAATAGGTCGAAAACTTAGCAGTAACAACTGTATGCTTTCTTCTTCAAGAACGTACCTCATCGAGAGGGTTTGCGAGTGGAAA